AGAGAAGAAACATTTGTTATATAAACAATTAATGAGAGTGAGAGGAAGGAAAAGAATAACATACGGTCATCACATAAGAAGACATAATGAGATATACTTAACATAGTGTCCAGCTGTCCTAAAGCATTGTTGCTACATCAAAACATCATCTACAACTCGCTTTGATGGTCAGATGTAAAACAAAAAAAGAAGAATAAGCATGACTGATCACGAAAATTACATAAGGTATATATCATTATAATAAGTATACTATGATACATACATAGCTGTTTTCGATCATCAATGGTTAGCGTTTTTCTATTCAAAAACAATCAGTGGTTACCATAGTGACCTCCCGTCCTGAAATGGTTAAATGATATATTTATGAAATCAACACCTGATCAAATATTAGATTATCGTTGTCGTCTTGAAAGTCCAACATCATTAGGACGAAAAGGTGTATCACAAATTTATCAACCACATGTAATACCAGCTGAAGGTTATCAAATATTAAATGAATTATTTCCTGATTTATTTGAAATTTTATTTAATAAATATAATATTCGTTTATATTCAATTAAAAAAGAAGGAAAAATTTCTATTAATAATATTTTATTAAATAAAAATTTAACAAATAATATCGAATGGTTAGGTATTGATCGTTTTACATTAGAAATTCTTTTAAGAAAATATTTATATTTAAAATATAAAAATAAAATTCAATGGATATGTAATTCAAAAGTTATTGAACTTTTAACAAATCAATCATTAAATATTGTTCAAGGAATTAAATATCGTTTTAAAAATAATATTTCTTTATTATATTCAGATTTTATTATTGATTGTACTTGAAGATATTCTTCAACATTAAAATGGTTAAAAAATTCTTTTAATTTAAATATTCCAACTGAAGAAATTCATTTTGGTTGTGGTTATCTTTCGTTTATTATTGAAAGATTGAAAACAAATGATTTATTATTAGATTCATTATCAGTACTTGTTCATACAGCTAATGTTCCATATAATAATATTGGTTGTTATATATTACCAATACGTACAATGAAAATAAAAGATGAAAATTCATTAGGAATAATAACAGCAATTGGTATTGCTTCAAATAATTATGAATATCCACCAAGTAATTCATATGAAGATTTATTAGAATGAATTAAAGATAAAATTCCTTGAGAATATTTTCAAATATTAAATAGAATAAAAATCTCTAGTCCATTAATTTCATATAATCGTGGAAATAATTATCGAAAACATGTTGAAAAATTAGGAAAAAAATGGCCTCAAAATTTTATATTATTAGGTGATTCAATGTGTACATTTGATCCACAATTTGGTCAAGGTATAACACATGCATTTAGACAAGCAAAAGTATTAAAACATATATTTGAAGAAAATCAATATAAGTTAAAAGATATTTCTTCTATTTATAATTATCGTGCATCTAAAATTAGTGATGAATGTTGGTTTACTTCAACTGCAAGTAATTGGAAAACACCAACATTAAAAGTTATTAAAGCAAATCAATATGGACAAACAAAAATATTTCAAAGAGATCAACGTTTTCCTAATTCGAAAGAATATCAATTGCAAACACCTTTATTAATTCAATTTATACAATGGTATCAATTTTGGTTTCTTCAATGTGCAGCAAAATCAGGAAAATTATCAACGGAATTTTTACAAATTATTAATCAATGTAAAAATCCAATTATATTATTTAAACCATTAACTATTTTAACTATTTTTATACAGCATTTATGAACTACTTAGGTCTATCGAAAAAAGTATCGACTTAACCGAAATTTTCCTTTAAATTAATTTCTTCTATTTGATATACTTAATAATATTTTTATCCAAATTGTTAACAATAGATTAATATCCAATCAGAATTCAACATGCCATAGAGTAATCAGATATGAAGTCCTCGACCTGATTACTCTATGGCATGTTGAATTCTTATTTGATATTAATCGAT